AACAATGTGGTCATCCTGTCAGGGTGATGGAAAAGAAAGGGATGCTTTGGCTGTGTGAACTGAAAATTAGTGAGGGCGAGCGCTGAGGCCTCTCCTTGAACCAACTGTACCAGCCCCTCCTATTTCAAACAAGTGGAAATAGGCCCAGAGAAGTTCAGTGATTTGGGTCATGTCACACAGCTACTCAGGGTACTGCGGAGGCCCCAGATTCCACCTTCTGACTCCATGCAACTCCCTACTTTCTTGAACAGCGGCCACAGCTTTTCCCAGCATGCTCCTCTTCGTTTGTCGATCAGGGCATGTTTATTTATAAATTGGCTTGCTTGGAGCCTAAAATTTGGCATCAGTAGTTTTGGCTGTGAGGAGTTTGAATTTTTTCCTGTTTGTTTGGTTTGTTAACCCATGTTTTGTGAGGGAAAATGGGGGGGGATGATAAAAACATGAGGCTGCTGTAGTTGCTCGAATGTGAAGCATCGGGAAATGTGACAGTATCAACTGGCTTTCTAGACAGTAGATTAAAAATGCATGAAGTTGGCTCTCAAGGATTTACAGACTCAACACAAGTCCACTGCATGCTCCAGTTGCTCCTGGATGATTCTGTTGGTGGGCAGGAGAGTAGGAAGGGACACCTGCTGGGCCAGCGGCTGGAGGCTTTTTCTCCACAGCCAGGTTCAGAGCCTAAGCCATGAGATAAGAGAGGGGCAAGCTAATCTGACCAAGGGTGTGGCCTCAACATCCTGTATGTCATGCTTTGCACAAAACCAGGATTGTAAAAGATGGCTTCTTTTTACTCCCCTCACCCCGCAAGACAGGGTTTCTTTGTAGCTTTGGAGCCTGTCCTAGAACTTGCTCTGTAGACCAGGCTGGTCTTGAACTCACAGAAATTTACCTACCTCTACCCCACTGAGTGCTGGGATTAAAGGCATGCACCAACCACCACCCGGCTTCTTTTTACTCTTAACACTGGGAATTGATACAAGAAGCACAAATCTATTGTTTGTAGGATAACCAGAGTCCCTGGAACCCAGGTGATAAGTATTTTAAAATATCCCAGTGGTGAGTAACTCCACTGATGCAATAAGCCAAGTCAAACTGAATTAAAAGTCCAGATTTAATGAGCCAAGCATACCCGGGTGATCCCAGGGGAAGAAGAAAAAACCACATGGAAGGTCTGTGGGCCAGACCTTAAATACCCTGTAGGGTGGTCTTGAGGAGCTCTAGGGGAGGAACTGCTGCTTTGTGGGCTTTCTGAGGGCAGGGTTTGGAATGGGACTCAGCCAAACATCTAGGTGGGGTTTGGAATGGGGCCCAAGCTGGAGATTCCCAGCATCAGGTCCTTTTAGATATATTGAAATTCCAGTAACTTCTTGGAGAAAGACAGACTATTTTAATTAGTGACATCGATTCTTCTGCTGTGGGTTCTCATAGCCAAGGAATCTGGGCTGAGTCTCTGAGTGCTACTCCATGCCTACCTGTCCCCACAACCAGGAAAACTCAGTCATGCTCACAGACTGGGTCAGCTCACTCTCACTCTCAAGGGGTGGACACTCTGCTTCTGGAAGAGTGTCTGGCTAGCAGCTTTTGCCACCATCCCAACAAATAATGCTAACTGCTGAGGTAGCTCTAGCCTTGTCCAGCATATTGTTATTTGTTTTATTAGGATAGGAACTTATGTAGCCAAGGATGGCCTCAAACTCCTGATCCAACTATCATTACCTCCCAATGCTTTTAGCAATAAGTGTGTGTGTGTGTGTGGGGGGGGATGACACAGTGAGCCTGATGATAAAATGTACCAGTTTTAAAAACTGTTTTCATAGGTTCACCAAGAACCTTTCATGGTGACCAAAGGACACTTTGAACCTCAGGTTCCAGGCTTCTGGTAGCTTGAATGTAATTGGCCCCATAAGCCCAAAAGGAGTGGCACTATTAGGGGATGTGGCTTTTTTTGGAGTAGGTATGGCCTTGTTGGAAGAAGTGCGTCACTGTGGAGGTAGTCTCTGAGGTCTCTTATATGCTGAAGCCACTCCTAGTATCTCAGACCACTTCCTGTTGCCTGTGGGATCAAGATGTAGCTCCTTCTCCGTTATCAGCTCCAGTACCGTGTCTGCCTGCACGCTGCCATGTCCCACCGTGATAATAATGGACTAAACCTCTGAAACTGTGAGTCACCCAATTAAATGTTTTCTTTATAAGAGTTGCTGTGGTCATGGTGTCTCTTCATAGCAATAGAAACCCTAAGACAGGGCTAAAATGTAGCCCCCAGAGACCCAGGGTCCACTGGGCTGGGTGGGGGTCATGGCTAGAGAGTGATTTCCAGCTACACTTGGAAAGACTGTGGTACTGAATGGGAGTCTCCTGGGTGTTGGGGTTCACAGTAGGCTCATATGACTTGTGTTCTAGAATCAGAAACCCCAGGAGATAAGCTTACAAATCTAGGAGCGGCTGAATGAAGGAGGCAGCAATACCCCCTTGGACCCAGACTCTGCATTCTCCTCCTATCCCCATTTTCTTTGGCTAACCCTCTTTTAAGCTGTATTTATTGTTTGTATGTGTGTGCGCACACATGTTCTATGGTGTCTGTGTAGATGTCAGAGGGCAACTTGTGGGAGTCAGTTCTCTCTCGCCACTCTGTAGGTCCTGGGGATCCAACTCAGGTCTTCAGGTTTGGCAGCAAACACCTTTACCCACTGAGTCATCTTTCTGGCTCTTTGGCTGGCTTAAGGATACAAAATACAGCCCTCCTAGGACCTGCCGGGCTCTTTGAACTACAGGAAAAATCCCCCGGTCCAGTTTCACCGAGTGAAGCTTCCTGTTGCGTGATGGACGTCTACAGAGCCCCACACACTTTCCCTAGGATGCTCACAGCCACTGACTGTGGAGAAGGCACTGTCAGACACCTGAATGTGCCATGGGGTAGAAAGTCTGGTTGATGGTACACAGTACAGGAGGCAGGGCCTTGCCTTGCTAGACTCCGCCAGATGTGGAGGGGAGACCCTAAGACCTGCATCTCCATTTGTTTACTCGCTTGCAGTCACTATCCACCTTGACAGCTTGCTCTCATTTTGGGGTCAAATTCCCTGGAAGTAGAAATGCTTCTTTGGACAGGAAACAGGCATATGCAGTAAGAGCCATAGCTCTGGTAACTCTATGGGGTGCTTAGCCGTTCTTGGGAGCCTGGGCTTCAGTGTTTCTTTTTGAGGAATTCAAGGCTCTTCAGGTCCTTTTGGTGTCACCAAACAGGTCTGACTGTTTTCAAATGTCTCTAAGTCCCTCCAGAAGTGACACCCCTGGGCTCAGCCCAGGCCAACACCTCCTGACTTTGTTTCCCCATCTGCAGTGGGTAGTAGTAAGATGTCCCTGCCTCCCTCTCTGTTTCTCCATTTCAGGAACCCAGAATGGTTACCCAGGTTCCAAGTGGAGGAAGTGTGATGGAGTTTGGGTGCGGGCAGAGGGTGGCTGTCCCCTGCATAAACTTACGTCATGAGATTCCCCACTGGTTAGGTTTTTGTCAACTTGACACAAGCTAGAGTTTTCTGGGAAGAGGAACTACAGCTGAGAAAATGCCTCTATCAGATTGTATCGGCAGCTCTATGGGACATTTTCTTCATTAATGACTGATGTGGGAGGGCCCAGCTCACTGTGCATGGTAGCAGGGTACCACCCCTGGCTCTGGGTGGTACAATACAGTAGTCTGGCTGGGCTGGGCGGTGGGGGCGCATGCCTTTAATCTCAGCACCCAGGAGGCAGACTGGGCTGTTACACAAACAACAAGAGGGGGGGGAGGAGGGGGAGAGAGAGAGTGAGAGAGAAGTATCATGGGGAGCAAGTCACTAAGCAGCACTCCCCATGATCTCTGCATCAGCTCCTGCCTCCAGGTTCCTGCCCCGACTTCCCTTCATAATGGACTCTGAGCCTTTCCAAATTGCTTCTAGTCTTTGGTGCTTTTTTTTTTTTCTTTTTTTGAGACAGGGTTTCTCTATAGCTTTGGAACCTGCCCTGGAACTTGCTCTGTCCTTGAACTCACAGAGATCTGCCTGCCTCTGCATCCTGAGGGCTGGGATTAAAGGCATGTGCCACCAACCGCCTGGCCTGGTCCTGGTGTTTTTATCACAGCAACAGAAACCTAAGTACAACACCATTTCAGACCCAATGGTCCTTGGTGTTTTGCTGGTTGACAGCCACAGGGTTGGTTACCTAGGTCACAGACTTGGCTGTCTAGAGAAGTCTGCGAAGCACTCTATCCTGCTTGGGTGACATTTGTTCAGGTCCCTCCCACAGCCCCTGTCCCCATAGCCTTCTCTCCTTTGGATTATGAAGCAAAGCAGACATAAGCATATTTCCAGTTCTGCTTGTCACTGGTGTCCTTTCATGGGCCAGTTGTGGAGTGGCTGGGATTTTCCAGACCAGGTGTGTCCAGATATCTGCAGACACCCTTCCCTCCTCCCACTGACCCACAAAAGTCGTGACAGAGTGGGGGCTGTGACATATTTATTTGCTGATGTGATGGTACTTATTTGGAGGAGGGTGAGCTCTAGATTTCCTTTACCCTTCGGAAGCAGTCCTGCCCACCACAGGGACAGAAGTCCCTTAAAGCCAGGCTAAGTAGGGGAGCAGCAGCTCCCTGCCCCCAAAGCTCTTTGCAGAGCCAGAAAGATGGCAGCCGATCTCCAGGTCAAGGTCCCTCCCTCCCATGCCAGGTTTCTCTGCCCTACCTTCATGGCAGCTGTGTTTCAACAGGATCCAACTGGAGCTCCCTGCTGAGGCAGGGGTATCTCAAGGAAACCTCCAGCCACCTGTTTGTTTCTAATGGTTACAAAAACCTCACCCAGGTCAGCAAGGAAAAATATGAGCCAGGTGAGTTGTTCCTCTCTTTGAAGGAAACTACTGGCATCGACAACAGAACAGGCCAGCGAGTAAAGCGGCCACCAGCCACATGGTGGAGTAAGCACCCCACTCAGTACTGGCAGGCAGGGAAGACCGGCTTGCAAGAGTACTGGCAGCCATGCAAGACCGGCTTGCAAGGTGGAGGCTGAGGGGCAGGGCAGGGTGCAGCCTGGCTGCAGCGTTCTGATGTCGGCTCCGGGTCTCTGCAGAAATGATGAAGCAAAGGACCAAGGCTAGAAAACACAAGTTCCCCAAGGTTCTCTCTCCTCTCATTTGGTTTGTCTCAAGGGATAAAAGCTCCCGGATGGAGGGGATCTCTTCTTCAGGCTTCCAGAGCCACAGAGTTTGGAGCCAGGTGCACTGACTCCATAGCTAGGAAGACCAGCCCTTGAGTCTATTTGCCCTAGAATGTAGTAGCCCCAGTAGGGGCTTCAGTGATCAGGCTGTCTCCAGTAGGGAGGGGCTCTTCAATAGCTACAGTGCAGACCATTGAGAGATCCCAAAAAGGGGCCTCCTCCCATCCAAACAGGGAACTCTGAGGTTAGTGTTCCTTTAAGAAACCCTCATGGTTGCATTACTGCACCCCTTTTTTCTGGGGTGTGAGGACCAAACTATGGTTTGGGCACCATAAGCTGTTGTCTTCCTGGCCCACACATGGCTAGCTCAGAGGAGGGCAGGAAAAAATCACTTCTCTTTGCTGTGACTTGCTTTCACACCATCCCCAAGGTCAGTGGCCTGGTGCTCTCAGCACTGCTCGGCCTCCATGAAGCCCTCCTTCTCATGGCCCGAGGGCTCGACCTCTGTGTAGGTAGAGTGGTTGGGGTGGTTGCGGAACTTCATGGCTGGCCAGTGGTGAGGTCTCCGCTGCAGAGACACAGAGGCAAAATCAGTGAATGCCACCTCCTCACGGGACCCCATCCCTGAGGGCTGGTGCAAGGCTTTCTCCTACAAGGGTTCTGAAGGAATGAGGGCTCACTGTGGAGAAACAGTTGGTGGTTGGGGCTACTCTCTCAGCAAGATTCCTCAAGTAAACCCTCAGCGACCAGAAAGCCAATATAGGCCTGGCTGGACCAGAACTCTCTATGTAGACCAGATGGCCTTGAACTTGCATCAATCCTTCTGCTTCTGCCTCCCAAGTATTGGGATTATAGGTACTACCCCACCTTACATTTTTAGAAGCCAGTTTGGAAGGAGCACATTTTATCCATCACTGTGTGGTTTGCAGAACTGATTTAGAATCTTCAACAGCAGACTGGAGACGTGAGACGGTAGGAGGTGATGAAGCAGGCCACATATGCCTAAATGAGCTAGGGGACTGGAAATAACAAGATAGCCCAAGACAGCACAGGTCCCTCAGCAGAGTCTGTGGGAAACTTACTGAAATGCAGATTCCTTATCCTCCCGGGACCCCTCTCATGGAAGTCCTTGTGGCCTGGGAACCAATAGTCCTTGGTGATACCCAGGTAGGCTAAGAATCCAGAACATGGGGCTCAGAGGTTAAGAGCACTGACTGCTCTTCCAGAGGTCTTGAGTTCAATTCCCAGCAGCCACATGGTGGCTCACAACCATCTGTAATGAGATCTTCTGGGCTGTAGGCATACATGCAGACAGAACACTGTATACATAATAAATAATCTTTAAGAGCTGGAGAGATGGCTCAGAGGTTAAAGTACTGACGGCTCTTCCAGAGGTCCTGAGTGCAATTCCCAGAAACCACACGGTAGCTAACAACCATCTATAATAATCTTTTAAAGAGGAATTCAGAACAACTGAAAAAACCCTGTTTCATTAAAAAAAAAAAAAAAAAAAAAGCGGGGAACACCTGGGCCTCTGAGAATAAGGTCAGTGGGCTTTCGACCCAGAGGTGCCCTCTGGAACCTTCCTTCTCAAATAGCCCTTCTTAATAAGAGCTTTAGGGAAGCTTGCTCCCATGTGCTACTGAAGCACCGTTGAGTTCACTGAGGGTACCATCTGCTTGTGACCTACTAGAGGGCAGGGCCGGTGTCTCATTGGTTTTCACGCCCTCAGAAACTATGGGGTGAGTACCACGTTTCTCTGGAAGCGTCTTCAGCAGTGGGATAGGAGCCAGATGTCTCTGAGCTCTGTGGCTTGCTGAGCCTCACTTCCCATGATATACTACTCTTCCCTCTGCATTCTGGAACATGAAAACTGCAGCGTCCCCAGCTAAAGCTCCCTGAGAGCACAGCCCTTGTTAACATTTTGGCTTGTCAGCTGTCACCTAAAAAGCCCACAGCAGCAGTGAAATATGATGGCTCTTTCATGACTCGGAACAAGAAATCGCAAGCCATGAGGGGGCAGCCCCCTGCCACTAATATGGCATTTCTGACTGCCCTCCTCTGGGGGCCTTTTCCTGACCTCACAAGCAGGGAAAGCAGACAGACCATGTCCTAGGGAGGGAAAGCCTAGGTGCTGGGTCCTGGGGATGATGGACTTCAAGAGCACCAGCCACCGAAGTTGTGATGGCGTGGAGGAAAGTTTCTCAGGGAGGTGCGGGAGGGGTGGGAGGGGATGGGGCGAGGCAGGTTCTAAATGACCAGGGAAATCCTGGTGTGGAAGCAGATGCAGGTAGATCCCACACTGACCTCGATGAAGAAGAGCGCAGCATTGGAGTTAGGGTGGCCGCTGATGTAAATCCCAGCCAGGATGATGGCCGCTACCAGGAGCACAGCCAGCACAATGCCCACGATGGTGCCCAGGTGTACAGGAGGCCCCTTGGTCTTTGGGGTCAAGTTGTCTTGAAGTCCTATGGAGGACAGAGGAAAATTTCATGGAGCAAAGAAAAGCTGGGCCTCCCAGCCTTGTGTTCTGACAAGGTCCCAGAGATGAGCACCCACATTTTCCAACCCACAGAGGGGTGTGGCTGGAGTTGGCAGGATGATTATAACAACATGAATGTTCTGGCACCTTAAAGATGTTTTCTAGAATCATTTAGAAGTTGATCTTAAGCCGGGCGGTGGTGGCGCATGCCTTTAATCCCAGCACTGGGGAGGCAAAGGCAGGCGGATCTCTGTGAGTTCGAGACCAGCCTGGTCTACAAGAGCTAGTTCCAGGATAGCCTCCAAAGCCACACAGAAACCCTGTCTCGAAAAACAAAACAAACGAACAAACATTCTGCTTCCATGTATATTTGCACACCAGAAGAGGGCACCAGATCTCATAAGGGGTGGTTGTGAGCTGGGAATTGAACTCAGTACCTCTCTGGAAAAGCAGTCGGTGCTCTTAACCTCTGAGCCATCTCTCCAGCCCTGAAGTTGATCTTAAGACGTTATAAGGAAGCTGTCTGAGACACCTGGGCCACATCAGCACTTCTGAGGAATCCCCAAAAGGCATGCGATAGTTAAGACTTTGGGGTCAGGAGCTAACAAGATGGCTCAGTGGGTAAAGGTGCTTGCTGCCAAGCCTTATAACTTAAGTTCGATCCCTGGGCACCACATGGTGGAAAGGACAGAGCTAATGACTGTGAATTGTCCCCTGACCTCTGCAGGAAGGGTAGCTGGTGTTCACAGATTCTACACACCCCAAATAAATGTAATTAAAAAAAAAAATTGGGATCTTAGATCTGAGTGTGCTCTCGAAGGCCTGTAATCTTAGCACTTGGGAGAAAGCAGGAGGGTCAAGAGTTCAAGGTCACATCCTCACCTACACAGTGAGTTTGAACCCAGCCTGCGTTACATGAGACCTTGCCTCAAAAAATCTAGGGGTGCCAGGTGTGGTGGCACACGCCTTTAATCCTAGCACTCAGGAGGCAGAGGCAGGTGGATCTCTGTGAGTTCTGAGTCAGTCAGGTCTACAGAGTGAGTGCCAGGACAGCCAGAGCTACACAGAGAAACCCTGTCTCAAAAAAACAAAACAAAAACAAAAAATAGCAAAACAAAAAACCTCGCAAATCAATACTCTGCCACTTATTAGCTGTGTGATTTTGGGCAAATCAGCCTCTGTGAGCCTCTGTTATAACCTTTGAAGGACAAGGACAATAGCTATCTAGCTGGGGTTATGGTGCTAATGGACAAATGGCAGAGCTCATGCCAAGCCCTGAGAACCTCGCCCAGCATCTTGGAAGTCCTGAGCTAGTATTAAGTGTTCTGATAGCAAACAACCACAGTTATCCTTGTTTCTGTCTCTTGCCAGATTGAGACCTGCTGGATGGCAGGGTTACTCTCTAGCTCTTAAAGACAATGGGGTCTACTGTGAATTGGGGTCCCATTTCACCTGCATTCAGTGGGATGAACTAGATCCTCTGGAGGCACCTACAAACCACTGTGAGAGAACATCCCAGGGATCTGAAATACATCCCAAGGATAAGAGGGCTCATCCAAGCCCACCCTTTCTTTATGACTAAGGTAATGGAAACACTAAGGTAATGGAGACGTTGCGACATTTGCCTAAGGACACACAGTGTCAGCTGCTAAGAAGCCAGGTTCCCTAACATTACCTGGGTGGGTATTTGCTGCTTCCCCTACCTAACGTGCAGGAATGAGCTAAAAAGACAGATGTGGGTGTCAGCCATGGAAACGCCTAGTCCTTCTCACATGGCTCTTGGGTGGGAAGGGAGGCAGTGGAGTGTGAGGACGTCAAAAGGATGTTGACTGCATCGGGATTCTTGCTGTCCCCATTTGTCGCTGCTGGGCATTGCGTACACAGAAGAAACCCAGGACAGAAACCATCCAGGCCATCTCATGTATGCTAGGGCCTCTAATTGCCATGAAGTGGGAACAATGAAAGAACACACCTCAAGCTAGCCTCTGCTGATTTGGTGGTTGGTCATTAGCCCCTAGCTTGCTGTGATCTGGGTTGTGGCTCCTCCCCCACCACACACCCAGTCTCTCAAACTCATGGAGGGGAACAATGGTGTCATCTCTGAGATAGGGAGGTTTGTCAGACTGCTCGACTCCCAAGGACTACCCCCAGCCTGGAGCTGCAAAGGCATTCCCACATTCATCCATCCTTGCAGTGGCTGCAGCAACTGTGGGAGGGCTTCCCACCACCAGAGAACATTTTCCCTGAGGCTGGTAGTAGTCCACCTTCTGGTACCCCTACAGGCCAGGCAGGCAGTGGACACGCCTGCATGCTCTTCACATGCGAGGCAAATTGGATGCTGGAGAAACTGCTCTCCCCATACAGCTGAGGCCTAAAGGGAAGCAGGTCCCCCTGTCACAAGTCCCCCTGCCAAGTGGCACTGGTTCAGCCACTTCCTCGAATACTTTTCAGGGAAGTAGACACAGGAGGCTCCTAGCTTGAGACATAAGTGTCTAGAATAGACATGTTTCATCAGCCTAGGGTCAGCGGCCTCAGTCCTCAGCCCTCCCATTTAGCCACAGGCTTGGGACCCCGGTTACTTTGCTCTTTTCCCTCCCCCACCATTAGGACTCCTCGTGGTGAACCCACAGCCATTCGTCTGGTAAAGAGGGACAGGCAGCTCCGTACTCACCATCTCCTCCTGCGTAGGGATTCAATTTGGTGTCATCTTCAAAGAGGACAGAAGGAGCAAAATTAGTGGAATCATTCAGACTTCTGCCACCCCAGGTCTGGATGGAACTTGAAGGAGGTGTCCTTTCCAAACTTTCCATTTAGACATCCTACTGTCATGTCATTCATTATACGAGTTACTATGGGCTGAGCACTGGGGGCAGGGTTGGGTAGACTACAGATAATGGATGGACTTGGTCCCCACCTACATTGGGTAGGGAATGGAGAGGCAATTAAATACCCACAATGCCAGGCTGTAGCTCAGTCATTGAGCACATGCCAAGCATGGGACTTGAGGGACGCTCTGGATTTAGCTCTAACATACACACACACACACACACACACACACACACACACACACACACACAAATAAACAAGCAACCCCCCCAAAAAAAACTATAAATAGACCTCACAAGATGAAGCTGTCTCTGCAGGCCTCACTCAGATCATGGGAATCAACAAAAGTTTCCCAGAGGGAGGAAGTGAGTTCTAAGCTGGAAGTGGAGAAGACATGCTAGCCCAGAGTCAAAGAATTAGCCAGCTGTGTATACTAACAGATGGAGAGATGGACGGGGCCAGGCAGCTCTCTGGAATGCTGTATGGAACTCTTGCACAGCCTTCTAAGGGGCAGCCGGATGCTGTGGAAGGCTGCAAACCCCTGGTTTGTTTGCAGACTCCAGGGTCTGCAGCAGGTTCAATGCCCTCTCTACACCTCCATGTATACAGCAGTGGCTTTCTCAGTCTGTTCTAAGGTTGACATCCTTCCTGGGGTTTTGCCCCACGAGGCAAAGGAAGCCAGGAGTCCAGTGTCTGGAAGCCCCATAGCACTACAGGCTGTTGTTCTAATCACTTCAACTTGAAACAGTCTTAGCTGCCCCACGATTTACAGCATTCTGTTCATCCTCCCTGCTGGACCCCTAACATCCTGGCTGCTAGAGACTCTTAGTGGGTCCCATGTTTGTTCTCAGGGCTTTGAGACCCTAGTAATCTCTTAAGTGTCACAGCTCCACACTGCGGGGGAAGCTGCTGGAAAGAAAGAAGCTGAAGACACTGCTCAAGGTCCTCCAGATGCCCTAGCCTTCCACACATCTGAGCTGCAGAGGAGTGTATTGTCACCCTCCATGCCCTCCTTCCCCAATCCTCCCCACTTCTTCCTCCAGTGTCTCCCCACCGAAAACTCTGCAGAGCTGACCTGGGAGTCCCATCCTCTGCTGAAAACTGGTATTTGGTACATCATGGGATTTTTAGATTAATTTTGATCTTTATAAACGCCACATTGAACTATTATCACTTTTGGGTTTTTTGGAACCTCCTTTAAATTCTCATGCAGGTTGAATGTCCTACTTGCCTCTCACTAGTCCTGGTACTGCCACCTCTCAGGGGACAGTTTGCCGTGTTCTTGGCACCTGCTTGTCTGCAGCACTGGGATCCCCAAGGCTTCCCCATCTACTCTGTCTGCTCTCTCAGGGTCTTGAAGTATCAAAATGTAGGTAATGGAAGAAAACTATAATAAAAAATTTAAGTTGGGAGCTGGAGAGAAGGCTCAGCAGTCGAGTGCTTGCTGTTCTTCCAGAGGACCCGAGTTCAGTTCCCAGCACCCACATGGCAGCTCACAGTTCCAGAGGATCTGACACCCTCTTCTGGCCAACTTCACATGAGCTCCAGGAATCAAACTCGGGTCCTTAGACTTGTGTAGCAATCACCTCTACCACTGAGCCATCTCACTGACCCATGGGATGGGCTTCTTAGATTTATAATCATTTAATTTATAATCATTTAATAATTGAAGGATAATTGTTAGGATTTCAAAATAAAATCTACAGAATCAGATATATTCAACAAATTTTTGTTTCTTGTTCTCTCTCTTCTCATAAAAATCAACTATAGCCCAGCCCACACCTATCCTGGCAGACAAATGGACATGAGTGCCTGTTCTGACTGGAACAGAGCCACAGAAGGTGAGCTGCAAAATAGCCTCTCCTGCTCAACGGGACTGGGTCCCAGAGGCCATCTTGCCAGGGCTCTGTGAAGTATAAGGTGGTTTTTTAATCAATGGAAAGAGGATGCAGCAGCTATTAAACTGCTAAGCACAGATACCACCACCTGCCTCTGCCACCCTAGTGCTGGGATTAAAGGCGCACACCACCACTGCCCGGCCTCAAAGTCCATTTCTTATGGATGCAACTTGACAATGTCACCATGTCTTCTGGGACAGATCTTGTGTCTTGGGGACCATGCAGTTGAACTTCCAGTCCCAGGTCTTCTGCTCTACCACACAGCTGCCCTCTGAAGTGTGTGTGTGGGGGGGGCTTGCTCCAAGCCCAGTACAGAAGCAGACACGGCCCTACACATAGGTCAAGCTGAGGGCAGCTCATTAGGTTCACTGTAAACATCACCTAGAGGACTAGAGAGCAACAGCAGACCTTGGACTTGACTGGAGGAGAATGAGCCATTGATGAAGAGACCTGACACCTTTGGGGGGACTGACTATGGGGGAGGGTGTAGAGCCATGCATTAATGACACCCCATTCCTATGATCCTGGATGCTGATATTGGAAGGTAAATGGAGGTCACCCTGCCCTTGGATACTAACTCCCCGAGAACAAGTTCCTTTCGTGCTCTATCTCCACTGAGTCCCATCGAATTCTGAGGCAGCAATATGTGCTCTGCTTTAATGTCACAGTCCGGCTGCCTTGTCATTCCTGGCTATAACAGTAAGGCCAGCTTTCAGAATTGTGTCCACCCTTTGCTATTTTCCCACTTTCATTTCTCATAGCACAGAGGAGGGCTGGGGAGCCTAGAATTCTTGGAGTCCGATGAGACCTGTCTCCATGGCTTCCTGTCTGTGTGACCCTGGGCAAGTCATTCACCTCTCTGAGTTGTAGTGTCTTTTCTACAAAACGGGGGTGGGGTAGGGGGATGCAATAATATAACATCCAGGACTGTGGGGACAGGGTGTTAATGCATGACTGTGCATTCTCCCCGAACATGGCCCCCATGGCGTCAGGTCTGAGGTTGGCTGTCTCTCTAGTCTTCTAGGTGATCTTTAGAAAGACAGGAGGCTCTCATTGCCCTGAGTGACCCATTTGGCCTCTTATAAGCCTCTTACTCTCAAGCAAGGCTGCATTGTATTTTTGGATACTAGTTTTTCCTTCTCTCCTTCCCTCCTCTCCAGGGACGCTATTAACCTCTCACAAGCCCTTCAGCCCTCCCAAGGGAAAAAGGCTCAGGTCAAGGACTGAATCTTAAAAGGGTCTGAGGAACAGGAAATACTCAAAGCCCTTAGGACCAGAGGCCACAGGGGCTGCCAGAGACACTCACACTGTGTGTGTCCCAGGGATCCTGATCTCTGGCAACATCAGTCAAGATCCCTAGGCTTTGAGGCAGCAAAGAAGCCCTGTGGACAGTCAGTCAGGCCTCAGTAGGCAGTGGATGGGTACCAACCCAAGGAGGAAGCTGAGTCAGAAGTAAAAGTGGGATGGGCATTGTGGCAAATGTCTTTAATCCCGGCACTCGGGAGGCAGAGGCAGGCAGATTTCTGTGAGTTCCAGGCCAGCCTGGGCTACATAGTGAGTTCCAGAACATATAGAGAGATGCTGTCTTACTGCCCTGCCCCCCCCCAAGAAATCCCAGCACTTGAGAGATTAAGGCAGGAAGATCATGAGTTCAATGTCACAGTGAGTTCCAGGCCAGCCTGAGCTACATGGGACCTTTGTCTCAAAAAAAGCTAAAACAGTGGCTCACATCTGTGATTCCAGAACTTGGAAGGTTGAGACAGGAAGATTGCTTATAAGTTCAAGACCAGGTTGGGAGAGTGAGACCCTGTGTGGTGATTTGGATGAGAGCACCCCCACGACTCCCCCCACCTGCCATTAGGCTGGTATGTTTGAATACTTGTCCCTACTTTGGGAAGAAATAGGAGGTGTGGCTTTGTTGGAGGAGGTGTGGCACTGAGGGCAGCCTTTGAGGTTTCAAAAGACCTTTGCCATTCCCATCGTGCTCTCTGCCTCTGGATTGTGGGTAGATGTGAGCACTCAACTGTTCCTGCCACCATGCCTTTGCTCTGCTGTCATGGACTCTCACCCTCTGAAACCGTAAGCCCAATTAAAGGCTTTCTTTTAAAAGTTGCCTTGGTCATGGTGTTTCATCACAGCAATAGAAAAGTAACTAATATACCTTCTCTCAGTAAACAAGAGGGCTGGACATGTAGTATAGTGGCAGGGTGTTTGCTTAGCATCACACAAGGCCCTGGGCTCAATCTCAGTATAGGAAGGAGGAAAAAAATAAAGGTAGGTTCTAGAAAAAAAAATCAGACAATCGTCTCTCACCACTGACTGCGCGGGCAGTTATCATTCTACAGTCCAAGTAGTCTCACAGGCTCTGACAGGTTAATATTAAGGGTGCTCTATCACCCGTTTCCCCTTCTCTGAAGGGATCTCCATCTCATGGTCCCACAGTCAGGCTTCCCCGTGGTCAGAGCTTCTCCTGTATCGGCTTCTGCTTCTCACAGCAAGATAGCTAAGTTTCCTGAATCTCAGTTCATGGTCAGTGAAAGACCAGGGCAACCCCTGTCCTGTGAGGCAGCTCCTGTCCTGTCAGGAATGGGCAGGCTCTCCCCGAGGCGTCTCTCTGCCCCAGGACTCATGTCTTACCTTCTGTGGTGAGGTTGTCGATGAAGAGGGAAGAAGAAGTGGTTTGGTCACCATCAAAGGGGCCGAAGGAGCTGTCAGGGGAGGCTGAGTAGTGGCCCTCATCCTGGAAGTCCTCACACGTCCTGCCCTCTGCCTGCAAGAGACCCCAGTGCTGCTTCCGGACACAGCCAGCCCTGAATGCACCCAAATTTTGTACTTATGCTCAACTACTTGGGAGGTGGAGCAGGGGGGTAGGGTGGGGGGATTGATTGAGTTCAGGAGTTCAAGACCACCCTGGTCATCAGAGTGAGACCCTGTTTCAGAAAATAACTAAGATGGAATCTTCCACTTTATCTTGAACGTGTCTTATCTTACAGGGTAATTTATCTGTCAGCAGCTTCAAATCATTCCCTAAGGAGGGGGCTGAGATGTCAATCTTAAATAGATAGATAAAATCCTAACAGTCACTGGCTGGGTGCTCTCCTTTAATACCAGCACTCAGAGGCAGAGGTAAGGAATCTCTGTGAGGTTTGGGGCATCCTGGTATAAATGGTGAGTTCCAGTACAGCCAGGACTACATAGACCTTATCTCAAAACCAAAACAAAATAAATTAATTATAATAGCATAACAGTCACTAATAGCCAAGGTCAGATGTGGCTAACCCCCCCCCCCCCCCCGCCGTTTATCTATTTGGCGTATGTGTGTATCTATTTAAAGTGTGTGACCACTACAGCAAGCACATGGGAGTCAGAGAACCAACTGCAGCAGTCAGCTCTTACCTTCCATCATGTGGGTTCCAGGAATCAAACTCAAGCTGTGAGGCATGGCAGCAGGCACCTTAACTCACTGAGCCATTTTGCTGCCCCAGTTATTTTTTTCTTAAGACCAGAGAAAGATGAGAGCATGGCAGGAAGCCTGGAGGATTCATGTTTAAACACCGAGCCTGGCATCTTGTGGTGGTGAATGTCAGGCCAACTCTTTAAACTTCTCTGTGCCTCAGTTTCCTCTCTGGTCAGGGAGGGCCCTGGTCCCCAGGTTTTTGGGTCATGTTAAATAAGAGGAAGTATAAAGCAGTGAAGTGTGCCTGGCTTGCAAGAAGACATAGAGACCACGAAGCTGTGTGAGTTCGAGGCTAGCCTAGACTACAAATGGAGGCCCCATGTGAGAGGGAGTGGGAAGGGAATGGCGCCTGGATGAAATCACCCGTTCTTGCCCATGTGAGAAGACGTTTCAAGAGAGTCTAAAGCAGCCGTTCTCAACCCATGGGTCGAAACCTCTTTTATAGACCTCTAGCTCCAAAAATACTTACACTATGACCCATAATGGTAGCAAAATTACAGTTATGAAGTAGCAACGAAATAATGGGGGTCACTACAACATGAGGGACTATATGAAAGGGTCGCAGCATTAGGAAGGTTGAGAGCCACTGTTCTAGAGTGTTCTGGAGATGGCACCTGGATGGGATTCTAAGTAGGAGGTGCCCGGAACAACCCCCCTCACTCCCAGACCGATCCAGAGGAATAGGGCTTCATTAACATCATAAAGAGTACAGGGGCCCAGAGGAGTCAGCTGTGGCTAAGGCCACCTTGAGCAGTGTTATCAGGGGCAGTCCTCTGGCAGCACCCTTCTCCAAGAGGGGACTACAGCAGATCACTCACAAGTCTTACCTCCTGGGCACAGCCGTAGGCCAGCCACTCCTGGCGGTAGCGGTCAAAGCCGCTGGAACATCTGTAGGGGACCAAATATGGCAGATATGAGAGGGGCTCGGCAGAGAACAAATTGCTCCCTCTCATTTACCCCTCTACTCAGTAACAGCCCTGTGAGGGGAGGGCAGGGAGGGGCTCAGCTCTAGGCGGCAGAAAGGCCCCTGCACAGGTGCCCCGGCAGGAGGTGATTATGGGATTTGCAGTCAGACCCTCATGTCCTCTACTTTATCCCAGCTGCCCAGGTCAAGGCTTTCTCTGCCCAGCAGTGTCTGTGTGTGTGCAGGACCCTGGAAACTCTCAGGGTCCCTTCGACTCTCTACCAAGGCGTTGCTGGGAATCTGGGATGTCCTGCCTATTATGTTTTCCTTCGGAAAAAGACTTGCTCAGTCAGGGCTCTCCATCACTATTGAGGGGTCTCCTTTTGGCAGCAGAGGCTGGGCAGAGGGTGGCATCAGGTGATGTAATGTAGTCAACTCCCTCTGTGTAATCACAAGGGGACAGCAATGAGAATGGTGTCAGAGACTGGCATGGGTCTCTGGAGAGGACCGAAGACATCAAGGGCTTTCCTAGGGAGAGGGCAGGGCACAAGCATGAACTGGAGAGTGTTCTTTCCAGCATCCTGCTTAAATTTCCATTCTTCCTTTTTGGTGCCAGAGGAAGTCACTAAGCTCTACGCCACCCAAGCATGTCGCAATGGAAGAATAACATCCCAAGCCACTAGCACAGAGAAAGAATTCTCAGCAAGTTAACTCAGCCCCAGCAGTGGCCATGTGCCCACACCCAGTGAGATCAAGGCAAAGTTTCCCAAGGGCTGTCTGGTGAGGCCTCCAGGGGCTGAGCGGGGCCAGCCATGGTTCTTTTCTCGATTCTTAGGGGATGGAGGACAAAGAGGAGTTTGGAGGTTGGAACTCAGGCTTCTTTGATAATACTGCTAGATTCTTTTAAGACTAGGTTGAGCCCAGTGGTGGTGGTGGCACACACCTTTGATCCCATCTCTCCGGAAGCAGTGGTAGGCAGATCTCTGAGTTCAAGAGCAGCCTGGTCTACAGAATAAGTTCTAGGACAGCCAGGACTACACAGAGAAACCTTGTCTCAGAAAACAAAAGGACAAAACACAAAGGACTGAATCTTCAGTATGTATGCCGAAGAAGCATTTCAAGGCCAGCCTAGTCTACATAGCAAGTTTCAGACAAGAGGACCCAGGGTCCACCCCCAGTAACCACATGGAGGCCCACAACCGTCTGTAACTCCACATCCAGGAATCCAATGCCCTCTTCTGGCCTCCAAAGGCTCCAGGCATGAACATGGTTCACAGACATACATTCAGGGAAAATACCCATATACATATACATAAACAAAGCAAAACAAATAAAACAAAAATCAAGAAGCATCACAACCCTGAGTCTTCAGTTTGGGTTTAGTCTCAAGCTAGCCAACATTGACTCAGAGAAGAATATGAGAATTGGCCATTTACTGAGTATCTCTTGACTGTCTGGTGTAGTCACAATGACATGGTAAGGTGAGACTTATGACCATTATTTCCTGGGCAATTCCAAGACTGAGGCCGCCCATGGACTCAAGGGGACAAATGGTAGGACCAGTGTAGAATGTTTCCCCCTTTGGAGAAACTGTTCTTTATAGTGCATAGAGGGGGCCCTGAGTGGCTACAAAGGGCAGAGTTCGTGGGAGAGGGGAGAAGAGACCCATCGGTGTCCCCAGGGCACTGGCCCTGGCCCTCTGGCTTTTCAGGAAACTGGGATCAATGCTTATTTGGAGTTGAGGCTCCAGAGAGCTGGCTGGCGGAAGCATGGGCTGGAGTGAGCCCAGTGCCGTGGGTGTCTGGCTGTAGAAGCATGGGCTGGAGGGAGCCCAGTGATCTGGGTGTCTGGCTGGGGTAGGTGGTTTCAGCTCCCTTGTACCCTCTGCTGGGGCATCCCTGTTTTGTTGTAGAGGTAGAGCCCACCAGCAGAGCCCCTACATTTCCTATCCTGGCCAGCATCTTCACATTCAGGGACTCCAGCTTTCATTCCACTGTCTTGTCTCTAAGTTTGGGTGTGGCTGCTAACTGGGGGTGGTGGTGAAGGGAAGGTTTGCTTTGTTTGACCCATTTTCCTATGGCTCAGCACGGGTTGGATCCTGAGTCATGCCTGGCAGCAGCCCCCAAATCCCAGGGATCATGTGAGGTCATCTCACGTACCACCCCAAGGCTCAGAAAATGCTGCTCGGCTTTGAAAATGCATGAGATGAAGCACTCCAAAATTCAGGCTCTGAGATCTTGGACCCTGGGGACCACATTTTTTTTAGATTGCTAGTCTCACACTCACTACATAACTGGAGATGACCTTGAACTCCTGATGTTCCCACCTCAATCTCTCAAGTGCTGGGATTATAGACATGTGCCACCATACCCAGATGGCTTTTTTAAAGATGTGTTTTATTTTTATTTTACATACATGGGTGTTTTGCCTATGTGTATGTCTGTGTAGCACATGTGTGCAGTGCCTACAGAGGTCAGAAGAGGGCATCAGAACCCTGGAACTGAAATTGTAGATAGTTTAAACTACTGAGTACTGAGATTTAAATCCTGGGTCCCTTTGGAAGAGCAGCTAGTGCTCTTAACAGCTGAGTTATCTCTCCAGCCCTGGGATTGCTTTTTTTGGTTTTGGTTTTGAGACAGGGTCTTAATATGTAGCCTTGGCTGTCCTAGAATTCACTATGTAGACCAGGATGGCCTTAAATATCACCTACCTCTGTCTTTTTTTTTTTTTTTTTTAAGACAGGGTTTCTGGGTTTCTCTGTATAACAGCCCTAGCTGTCCTGGAACTCACCCTATAGACCAGTTTGACTTCAAATTCACAGAGACCCGTCTGCCTCTGCCTTCTAAGTGCTGGGATTAATGTGTGCACGACCACATGCAGCCTGGCTGCTTTTACCAAGCCTTCAGGGTGGTTCTCACAGTCCACAGGCAGGAAAGCTTCACTCCCAGAATACAAGGGTCTATGTCACCAACTTCCCCTGGGGCTCTGTGCCTCGCCTGCCAAGGGTCCCGGATGCATTTGGTAACATGCTATCTAGCATTACAAGAGCAGCGGTAACGGTGTGTGCCCCACCCATGTCTCTCTGAGTCACATCCTCTAGGCCACTTCATAGGGTAAAGGAACCAAGGTTCCCCCTAAGAGAAGAAGGACAGAGCTGGAGGGAGAACACCCCAGAGGCTGTGGCCCCTGGGCATCCCATCGCAGCTGCTCTCTGATGGGTGGCTCAGGGTCCCGTGTGCCAGGCTGGCAGTCTGTAGGATGCAGAGCTTCTATTTCTGCTCGGAGACGTGGGAGAGGAGCAAAGGAAATGCTGACCGCTGCACAACAGCTGCACACAGCAGCTTAGAGACTGTAATTTTGCAATTTTCAAGATGGCCTTAAAGGCTCTTGGAATTTGTAGGGCTTTCCACTCTCAGGAGAGCCAGCATCCTCAAAGGAGTCCTTTCCCCCATCTGTCATTTATTTATCTTGGCTAGAAGAACCAAGGTTGAATTACAAGTCTAATTGGTGAGGAGATGATTCTAGAACAAGGACTGGAAGATGCATTGGGTTGAAGAACTTCATCCCCAAAACTGCATCTCATCCAGAATGTCCTGAGCTTCCAGTAACTGCAACATCCATGCCTGGTTCTCAGGAAACCTGTTGCAGCCCAAGAGGACCAGGGGCAGTTTGGGGGGGGGCATGGAGCTCACCCAGCAGTGACAAGTCTTTGTGTTACAGTCTGTCACTTGCTTATAAATGAGGTGCCATGTTAAGACGCAGGCCAACCTTTAATCCCAGCACTTGGGAGGCAGAGGTAGGTGGATCTCTGTGAGTTCCAGGTCAGTCTGTTCTACAGAGTGAGTTCTGGGACAGCCAGAGCTGTTACACAGAGAAACTCAGTCTCAAAAATCGAAACAAACAAACAAAAAGATGCAGACCTGGGGTATCCCTGGAAATCATAACAGAAGGGGCAGTGATTCTGGAGTGACCACAGAATGGCCTACTCTTTGTGAAGCTCTGGTCTAGAATGAGCCAGCTTTCCTGGGAGATCTACAGTCTCCGGAGTCTCCAGATGATCTTCCCGAAGCCTGGCCACACCAGGCCTTACTCTGCCACACACCCACCTTGCTCAGGTACAAGCCTTGAGAGAAACTTACTTGCCACACACTTGTCTTAAGAGCTAGAGTGGCACTGGACAGAGACCCTAATGCTCTCAAGCAGTAGGCAGTGAGGCCTGAGGCTGTCAGTGGGTCCTGGCTACCCCCACCCAGCCTCACCCTCACCTCTGTGGTTGGTCACCTGGACACAAACCTCTGCAGGACATGGCACCAGCTGCAGTTGAACGTCAGGTTTGAGGACATGCAGGTGTCGCAGCTCCGATGCTGGAGGCAGGCTGCAAGAGAGGAGGCTGCGGCTGTCAGCATTGTGTCACTGATTCTCAGGACAAAGCTCCTGAATGCTGGGTCCTTCCTGAACTGTGGTCTCTGACTTTGGGGACAATTTAAGGCCATTATTGCCGCTCTCACTTTTGTTGTGTTTTGAGACAGTGTCTCTCTATGTAGTTCTGACTGTCCTGGAACTTGTTATGCAGACCAGCCTGCCCTCAAACTCACAGAAATCCTCCTGCCTCTGCCTCCTAGGTGTGCTGGGATTCTTTTGTTTGTTTGTTTATCGAGACAGGGTTTCTCTGTGGCTTTGGAGGCTGTCCTGGATCTCGCTCTGTAGACCAGGCTGGCCTTGAGCCCAAGGCATCTGCCTGCCTCTGCCTCCCGAGTGCTGAGATTAAAGGCATGCACCACCACTGCCGACTACTTTATTTTTAAATTATTTATTTATTTTTATTTTATGTGTGTTGGTGCTTTGCTTGTATGTATGTCTGTGTGTGAGGTTGCTGGGTTCCCTGTAACTGGGGTTGCAGACAGTTGGGCACTGCCATATGGATTCTGGGAATTGAACCTGGGTCCTCTGGAAGAGCAGCCAGTGTTCTTAACCCTGAGCCATCTCTCCAGTCCCCACCCTTCCTTTTTTTAAAAGATTTTATTTATTTATTATGTATACAACATTCTGCTTCCATGTATATCTGCACACCAGAAGAGGGCACAAGGTCTCATAATGGATGGTTGTGAGCCACCATGTGGTTGCTGGGACCTCTGGAAGAGTAGCCAGAGCTCTTAACCTCTGAGCCATCTCTCCAGCCCCCCCTTCCTTTCTTAAGTTTGTTTGTCATATCAGCAGAAAAATAACCAATACAGGCCATTCATATGTCCTGGGAGTCTAGAATATATGGAAACCACGGGTACCCTATTCCACAGTGGGGAGCTGAGGTTTGGCGGGTCTTGGAGCTAAGGATGGCAGGTCTGGGTTTGAATCAGGGCCTGTCTGAGCCTGGAGTCAGAATGTTCAGTCTTGATGTTCCACTGCGGATGCCCCTGTCTGCTCCCAGCAGCCCTCCAGGCTTAGACATACACTCCCAGGACGGCTCAGTACTGCTGAGCCTGGATATTCTTGCTCCTGATTTCCAGGACTCAAGGTTTGGTTCCCCCCAGAGACAGAATCTCCCTATATAGCCCAAGCCAGCCTTGAACTCAGTGTCCTCCTGCCTTAACATCTCAAAGGGAATTACAGGTCTGCATCCCTGTGAGCCCAAGATCTACTCTTACAGTGGCCTTTGGGAAACCCCTACTTACCAGGCCTTTGGGCTTCTTGCCTCAGTGGTGGGTGACTGTGACCTGGGCTGTGTCCTTAGCTTCTGGTTGCCTCAGGATCTGGGGCCTTTTCCAGTCTGGGGTCCAGGACTCATGACAAAACTTTCTTTTTCTTTCTCTGCTATCTATTCCCAGAACTTCCAGGGTGTGTGTGTGTGTGTGTGTGTGTGTGTGTGTGTGTGTGTGGGGGGGAGATTGTATGAGACACAAGAGATGTCACAGCTGTAGCCAGGAAATGACTACAGCTTTCTCAGTTGGCAGCAGGGAGACCCTGAGACAAGAGAAGGAACAAGACCCTCTGGAGAAATACTATTCTGAACCTGGTGCAATAGCACATGCCTATAGTCTCAGCTCGTGGGAGGCAGAGGCAGGAGGATCACTGCAAAGGAGAAATCAGCTTTATCTACATAGCAAGCTCCATCTCAACCAAGGCTGCCCAGTGAGGCAGCCTCCAGGGACACCTTCTCTAGGGGAAAGATGGTGAGTGACCAAAGACCAGATCTATTTCTGGATCCCTGTCCAAGCAGTCTCCAGGCTCAGCTCTCTAGGGTTTCAGATAAGTATTCTAGCAGTAGATGACAAAACGATTAGACACAAACCACATCCCAGGCCTAGGGTGAGCTGGTCCATTTCTGTACTCAACTTGGCCTGTATGGTTCCAGCCCTGACCACAGCTTTGCAGGGCGGTGACATTAGGCCCAGAGAAGTTAGGTGACTGTGTTCCCACGGATCAGAGGTTGGACCTGAGATCAGAACCCAGAATTTTTGAGTCTAAAGAATGTTCTAGAACAGCAGACTGCCCCTACTCACTTGGCAATGGGGTGAACTCCACGGCCGATGTGTTGGTGATCTTGCCGGAGTCCAGTTCCACGCGGTGGTATTCGAAAATGGTCCGCCTTCGAGACTCTGAGAAAGAAGTGGAGTTTGTCACCTCAAAGCGCTCCCAGGCCTGTGCCCAGGACCCCAACAGAGGTTAGTATGCAGCCAGTGAAGGAGGAAGTGAGCCTGGGGGCCTGGGATAGTAATGCTGAAGCTACAGGGAGACTAAATGGGAGTGGCTTGGGAGGAGAGCCTTATGTAAAAAGCAGGCTGAACCTGGCGGCCTGTATGCTCCTGGAGTCAGGACCTAAGGCATCCTCCTCAGGCCCGGGGAATGTCACAGCTGTTCCTTACAAACCCACAGCATTTGTCCATGCTGTCTCTTTGTGTCTAGCTCAGCAATGCAGATGCAAGACTGCTTCCCTGGACAGCACTCTTAGGCTGTGCTGTTCCACTCAGGCCGAGGGCCTTCCCCCTAACAGAGAGGCTACCCTGTCTGACCACGCCCCGGCTCTCCCCTCTTGGTAGAGGCTTAGCAAGGTTCAGAGTCCAGAACCAAGCCTACATCCTACAGCAGCTGCCGTGGCCCCCAAACATTGGAAATCACAGAACCTGAACATCATTCCTGCCTTTGTACTCCTAGCCTCTGCCATCCCCACCGCTGCCTGGCACTCTGTTGGTCCCCCACCAGAAAGCAAGGCAACAGAAAACACGGGGCTGTCAGAGCTCAGGTGGCAAGTGGGACTTGGAGTTTAGGCAAATACTCTCTAAGGACAGTAAAGAGAACACTGATCTCAGATCTCCCTCCCCACCACACTTGTCCCAAGCTTAGACATTCTACCAGCTTTCTGGGGCTGTTGGGAGACCTTGACCTTCCATTCCTGCCAGGGGAGATGACCACCCCAGACCTGAGGTGCCTGCCTTCCGTGGGGACTCCTGCTTTGGAGGCAGATGGCTTGTAATGAGATCAAGGCTCTGCTTCTTCCTCACTTCCCTCCATCCCAGGTGGATCCTCAGATAAACACTGGGTGGGAGGAAGGGTCCAGAGCTCCAGGGCATTACTGCTCAGTGTAGGTTCTGTCAGAAGTGACACTCAGATGCCTCAAGCTGAGCTGCGAAGGAGCCAAGACATATTGTCTCGCCATGCATTTCACAGTGGGGAAACTGAGGTGCAGACAGGCTAATCTATAGGCAAATGCATTTTTATGACACATTACCAACCAAGCCTATCCACAGCTTTAAATAGAAAACACCTTCTGCAGTTGAAAGGGAAAATTGCACAAGAGCACAGCACCACTGGGAATGTCTTCAGTCAACTCATTCAGTACGTAGGTGTGGGCACCTGCTAAATCCTGAGCCCCCAGCATTTGACAGCCATCCCAGAGCCAGCTGTAGCCAGCTCATGTCAGAGCTCCAGGATCTGACCATCTCATTTACCCTGGCATCTTTCTGGAGTTCACGGACAGATGTCACTGCCCGCTGCATCTTAAGGAAGAATGTATCATTTGCTCAAAGCCATGTAGCCTTTTTTTTTTTTAATCCAAAGGCCAGACCTAAAACTCAGGTTTCAGCTAGACATCCCTACACATGCCTGTAATCAAAGCACTCAGGGAGCTATGCTAGGAGGACTGCTATGAATTGGAGGGAGCCTAGACTACATCATGAATACTAGACCAGCAAGGGCTACATAGCAAGACCTTGTCTCAAAAAAACGCACAAATAGCCCCAAGTCTTAGGGCTAGGAAAGCTCCAGAAAGCCCCCAGAAGAGTGTGTGCAGCCGTTGGGGATGGTACATGAGCTCTGGTCAATTCCTATGGCATAAATGCTCTAACACCCACTTTCAGCATCCTTACTGGTGTTTCTAAAAGAGACGGAAGGGAACATTCGCATGCCTGTCCGAAAGTAAACAATTATACCGCATCCAAAGACTTGGATGACTGTGTTTGTTTTCCTACTATCTGAGATAAAACACCATGACCAAAAGCAACTTGGGGAAGAAAGGGTTTATTTCATCTTACAATTTTTTTTTTAATTTTTTTAAGGTTTATTTATTTATTATGTATACAACATTCTGCTTCCATGTATATCTGCACACCAGAAGAGGGCACCAGATCTCATAACAGATGGTTGTGAGCCACCATGTGGTTGCTGGGAATTGAACTCAGGACCTCTGGAAGAGCAGTCGGTGCTCTTAACCTCTGAGCTCTCTCCAGCCCTCATCTTACAATTTTTGCATCACATTCCCATCACTGAAGGAAGTCAGGACAGACCTCACAGTAGGATCCTGGAGGCAGGAACTGATGCAGAGGCCATGGAGGAGAGCTGCTTACTGGCTTGCTTTCCCTGGCTTCTTCAACCTGCTTTCTTATAGAACCCAGGACCACCTGCCCGGAGTGGCTCTACATATATCAATCACTAAGAAAATGCAGCCAGGTATGCCTTTAATCTCAGCACTCAGGAAACAGAGGCAGGCGGATCTCTGTGAGTTCAAACCAGGCTGGTCTACAGAGTTCCAGGACAGCCAGGGCTACACAGTGAGACACCACCTCAGAAAAAAAGAGGAAGGAAGTTTTAAAGAACTATGGGAATGAGTCTGGTGTGATGGTGCATATCTTTACTCCCAGAACTTGGGAAACAAAGGGCAGGTGGATCTCTGTGAGTCTGAGGCCAGCCTGGTCTACATAGTAAGTTCCAGGAGAGCCAGGGCTATGTAGAGAGATCTTGTCTCTCAAAAACAAAACAAACAACAACAAAATCAAACCATAGGAATAAGACCTTGCACATGGGAATGAACCTCTCACCCCCTACCAGCCCACAGTGTACACACTTATGCACACACATACACAGGCATGCAAATAGCCACCTCCATAGACAAATATATATGAACATAAATACATGCACACAGAATGAACCGAGGCTCCATTCATACTAGGTAAGCACTCTACCCCTGGGCTACATCACCAAACCCACTCAGACTAAAGTTTGTTTGAGGCAGGGTCTCACATTATACCTGGCTGCCCTTGAACTGGGGATTCTGAGTGATGAGCTTATAGGCCTATATCATCATGCTCAACTTTCCCCATACACACTTTTTTTTTTATAGAAGACCCCTAGCCATGGGAAAATGAGACGTTATGGGCAATAAGGTGAAGAAGGGCAACTTTCTTGTCATTCATGTGCCCAGAGGGACACTGAGGCCCAGAAGGTGGCCTGGGGGTCTGGGAACTTTTAAGTAGAGGATGGAAAATTCTAATGAGACTTTGAAAGCTCCATCCCTGTCCATTCTTTCCAGAAACCATCCTAAAGCCACCCTTGGAATTAGGAGGCCTCAAGTCTAATGCCAACCTCCCTCTCCTCTTCTGGCCCCACCCTCGGGGCACAGCTGATTGGTTCCCTCTCTCAAGCTGAATCATTGGTGCCATCTCACCTGGCACACATCTCAGTCAACATCTAGATTCCTGTCTTACCAGCCCCTGCCCCTAGACTTCAAGATCCCTGAGGACAGCATTAGCCTGGCATTTTTCTTTGCCAGTCCCCTGCCAAAGGGCTTCTACATAACAGGGTTTAGGAAATGGGTGTGAAGAAATGAACAGATTACAGATGGCCCTGAAAAACCTCATCTACCTATTATAGTCAGCCACAGCCCATAGAAAAACCCTTTCTGTCTGCTCACCATAGATAGGGGTGGAAAGCTTCAGAAAAGGAGTCTTCAGATGGCCACAGTCAGACAGATCCAGGCTGGAGCTCAAAGAAGGCACAAGGATGAATTTGAGGAACTCCCTACCTACAAAGGTGTAGGCCAGAGCTCAAACACACAGTCAGAAGGAAGGTGACATGGGACATGGGACCCAGGCACAGATGGAGACAGGCACTTACAAAGGAAACCATATCCAAGGACAGAGACATCCAATCCATAGCCATGAAAAAGCAGAACACTGCAAGGCACCCACCAGACGATGGGGCAGAGGTAGAACTGAGCCCTGGACTTGGATATGCCCAGGGGAAGGTGAGATGTCTTTGGGAAGCAAGTACAGCCATACCAGTGGGCAGGCAGATGAATGGCAGTGTGGAGGAGGGTGTGGGTTGATGTTCAAAATCTCTCTTAAGTGACAAAGACTGGCCATTTTGGCTGCCACCTTGTACCCATTTGAGTATACGACTGACTTAGGTACATCTTTATTTTTATAAACAGAATCCTGAATCTCCATACTGGAGCCATTTGCCTTTGGATTATTACACCAACATGTGGGCTCACGCAGTGACAATGGCATCCATCTGCATGGCCATCTTTCTGGAGCCAAAATGGGGGCAGTCTCCAAGCCACATTTCTGGCAGTTTGAGATGCTCTGTTTTGTCTGCTTCATCTTTCCAAGATACAGAAACACTGAGGTCCACAGGAAGCTTGTTGCCCCATCCAGACCTGACAATGGCTCAGAGGAGAGGGTCACATGACCCGTTTTGTCCTCCTCACACTGGCCACCAGCAGGCCAGCATTGCTCTGGTTAAGAGTCCATGGTAGTGCACACCTGTAATTCTAGGACTGGGGAAGTGGAGGCAGGAGGGTCAAGAGCTCAGGGTCACCTTCCTGGGCTGCATATGATTCTGTCTCAGAAGGACAAAAAGAAAGAGGAGTGGGCAGTAGAGAGAGGGGGAGAGAGAAATTGGGAAGAGGGAAAAGGAAGACGAGGAGATGGACCGCCACTAGTAGATACTGAAAGGTCCATCCACAAAAGACCCCAGAATGTTGTAGCTACTGTTTGGAAATGTGCAATGGTGGGTCTCCATCCATCCATCCCTCTCTCTACCCATCCATCATCCATTCATCTATCTATCCATCCCTCTATCCATCCATTTATCCATCCGTTCCTTTGCTCATTTGGTTATTTAGTCAGTAATAAAGATTAGAACCCTGGCAGAAAACCCTGAGGAACTCTCATCTCAGGGCAGGAAGCAAATCAGGTCTTCATCATTGAAGCAAAGAAAGGGCAGAAAATGAAAAAACAAGACTCCAGAGCCAAGTGCTGGGAACACAGAATAAAAGTGGAAGAGTGGACAAAGGGGCCTCAGTGGAGAAAACTCTCCAAGGAAGAGCACTATAAAATTCTTTAAATAAACTTTAAATGTGGTGGCACTTGCCTTTAATCCCAGCACTTAGGAGGCAGAGGCAGGTGGATCGCTGTGAGTTCCAGGCTAGCTTGGTCTACAGAGTGAGCTCCAAGACAGCCAGGGCTGTTACCCTGTCTCAAAAAACAAAACAACAAAAATAGACATTTTTCTCTATTTTCCTCCCCCTCCTTTTTGAGACAGAGGCTCACATACCCCAGAGGGACCTGGGACTCGCAGTGCAGCTGAGGATGACCCTAAACTAATCATCCTCCTGCCTCTACCTCCTGAGTGCTGGGACTACAGGAGCATCACATGAGGCTCTCTCTATGAGGAATCCTTTATCAGGAGAGTAAGAAGTCAGAATGGGCCAGATTTGGTGGCTAACCCTCCTCCCACATCCTCTTTGGCTGGTTCCTCTCCCTCCTACAGCCAGCTCTGGGGCCTCCACTTTCTTCACGGCTGCCTGGTGCAGAGATATGACACTGTTTCTGACACACATCTGGCCTCAAGTCAGCTTGAGAAAGGAAATTCTAGGAGAGGAGGACCAGTGCTCTTAGGGCCATCTGAGGCCAGTCAGGTGCCATCCAGAGTTCACATTACAATCTGGAGCCCTTGATAATCTGGCCTTGAGTAACTGATTCCACTAATTCGTAATCTCTCAGTTTTGACAGTTGCATAAAATACTGTTTTGTTTTGTTTTGTTTTTCCAAGACAGGGTTTCTTTGTGTAGCCCTGGCTGTCCTGGAACTTGCTCTGTAGACCAGGCTGGCCTCAAACTCAAGAGATCCTCCTGCCTCTACCTCCTGAGTTCTAGGATTAAAGGTGTGCTCCACCACTGCCTGGCAAAATAAAGTTTCTTAAGACAAATGAAGGGGCCAGGTGTGGAGGCAACACTGAGGAGGCAGAGGCAGGAAGATCTCTGACTTTAAGGCCAGCCTGGTCTATAGAGCAAGCTCCAGGACAGCAAGAGCTGTTACACAGAGAAACCCTGTCTTGGAAAAACAAACAAAAACAGCAAAAACAAAAGACAAGTGAAGGGAATGAGTTTTGGCGCTTTCTCCAGCCAAATGGAGAGCACCGAGGCCACCATGGAGGATTTGAGCTGCAAGCAGATGCTGCTGACAGACACAGCTGTCCTCTGCATCACAGTGCTCTGTGGGCTCCGATCACAGTGTGAGCAAGAGTTTACATAAGGGAGTAATGTTAAGAAACCTGACTGTGTTCAGCAAATCTCCCCTGGTCCCTCCTCGCCCATCCTACTTGGCAGGGCAAAAAGGCAATTGATTCCCTGAGATAGGACTCAGGGGCTGGCACCTCCTTATCCTGTTTGCTTTGCTTTATTATAATTCATTTGTAGGGGTAGGGTTGGGGGAGGTGCATGTCTTTATGTGGATGAGTGGGCCAGAGGTCGATGCCAGCATCTTCCTCTATTGCTCTCCATCTCGTTTTTTTAATTTTTCAAAAAGAGTTATTTATTTACTATGCATACAGTATTCTGCCTGCAGGCCAGAAGAGGGAACCAGCTCTCATTATAGATGCCTGTGAGCCACCATGTGGTTGCTGGGAATTGAACTCAGGACCTCTGGGAGAGCAGCCACTGCTCTTAACCTCTGAACCACCTCTCCAGTCCCCTTTGTCCCATTTTTTGAGACATAGTTTCTCGCTGAACCTGGAGCTCAATGATTGGGCAAGACCAGACGTCCACCAAGTTCAAAGGTGTCTGCCTCCTCAGTGGTACAATTCCAGACATGTGCCATTATGAGGGGGAGGAGGCTGGTGGGGGGTGTAGGCATCTGAAGGCAGATTCTTATGCTAGCTATTAGGAAAACATTTTACCTACTGAGTCATCACCCTAGACTACTTGGTTTTTTTGTTTGTTTGTTTGTTTTGATTTGTTTTTTATAGACAGCATCTCTTGTAACCCAGCCTGGCTTTGAACTCCTTTACCCTCCTGCCTCCACCACCAGGTTGCTGACATCACAGACATGTGTCACGGCACCCAGATGGCTGTGGAATCTTCACGATCAGGAAAACTGAATTCTACTCTATCAGTCTCAGGCAAGAAAGGGCTGAACATGGGCACAGGACAGAAGAGGCCTCCCATTCTGGGCTCGGACAGTGGGATATTCATGGAAACAACACTCTGTAGGCCAGAAGCATTTCAACCACAGTCATCTTGGGGTCACTGCTACTCAAGGCTCAACCTAATCCATGCAAATTCCCTGCTTGCAAAATGAATTTAAAGGATCCTAACACTTTAAAGAGTTGTCACTCCTGAACGCAGGGGCTGTGATATTATTTATTTATTTTTGTGGTACAAGAGAGTGAGCCCAAGGCCTTGCACATGTTATGTAGCCCACTTTAAAACTCAGTGAAGAGTGCTGGGCAGTGGTAGCACACACCTTTGATCCCAGCACTTGGGATGCAGTGGCAGGTGGATCTCTGGGAGTTTGAGGCAAGCCCGGTCTCCAGAGTGAGTTCCAGGACAGCCAGGATTGTTACACAGAGAAACCCTGTCCTGAAAAATCAAAACCTTAGTGAAGGCTAGAATACTGTCTGAGAAAAATGCACCAATGTGCCTCTCGCTGTTGCACTGACAGTGGATGGAACCTGGGGCTCTGCACGTGCTATGCAAGGGCTCTGCCACCGAGCCACATGCCAAGTCCCCTTCCAATTGCTCCAACAACAGACACACCATAGTGAGCTGCACTCACTGGACACCAGTCCTGAATCTAGTATTTAGAATTAGAGTTGGGACTTAAATGACAATGGGACCTGAACAGAGCCACACAGCATGGAGCAAGGGGAGCCACAAACTTGAGTTTTTAGGATGCTCCCTACACATTCAGCCAAGACAAGAGACAGTCAGTCCTCCATGAAAAATACAAAGATCCTAGGATATTATAACTTGATTAAGGGACAGGGGCTTGGAAGTGAGTGCTTTTGAGCAGCCCAGGGACACTGGGAGCTCTAAAGTGTCCTAGGACCAATCGCCCATGGATGCTGAAGGCATGGTGGTTAGTCTCCGTCATCAACCTAATTACATTCAGGATCACCCGGGGACACATCTTCAAAAGGGTTTTCCAGAGAGGTTCAGCCAAGGAAGGGAGGGTGGCCTGGGATACCGGTGGTGTTATCATGGGCTAGGCACCAGGACCGAATGCCAGCATCCACCTCTCTGCTTCCTGACTCCTGACCAGCACCTCACACTCACCGACTCTCCTTCTCGACCATGTGAGCCAGAACAAACTCATATTCCTCAAATGGTCTTCGTGAGGCATTTGTCATAGGAAAGAGAAAAGTGGCTACTACAGAGGTCTCTGTATGCGGACTCACCTGGCACCTCTGGGGATGAATTGAGGATCATGAAGGCATCTGACAGGCCAGCCTTGACAGGGTGCTGGGCAGAGCTGATTTCCGGGACAGCCATAGGGATCTGCAGCAGGGAAAAGGGGGGCACCTGCCATCCACCCAGAACCTCCATGGCCAAGAAGTCCCCACTCAGATCTCCGTACCCAACTCTCTGCTCAGGACTTAAACACCCAGAACCATGCTCTAGGAAAGCCACAATTCCTCCCACATAGACCCTCTAGCTCCACACAGGCTGGAAGCCGCCCTCAGCCTCTCCCCTTCTTTTCTCTCCTCTCTCTCTCTTCTCATCCATCTACAAATACTGAGTTAACGCAGTGGTTCTTATGTCTGTTTGGTTCTCTCATCTTCCTTCTCCCAGCATTCCCTTAGTCTCCAATAGTCTGTTCCCCACTCTGGAGCCAGAGTGGCTTTTTCCAAAGGTACAGCTGGTTGTTCCCCTGTCCCATCCTGTCTGCCCACTCTCCACTTCTTCTAGTGCGTTGTATAAGCCATGCTCTGTCCTGCCACAGGACCTCTGTGCATGCCACTCTCCGCCCTCGATGCACTTGTGTGGTTTGAAAGAAAATGGCCCCCAAAGAGGTGTGGCCTTGTTGGAGTAGGTGTGGTCCTGTTGGAGAAAGTGTGTCACTGTGGAGGTAGGCTTTGAGGTCATATATGCTCAAGCCATGCTCAGTAAGGCAGACCATTTCCTGTTGCCTGTGAGTCAAGATATAAGAACTCCTAGGTACCTCTCCAGCACCATGTCTGCCTGCACACTGTCACGTCATGACATGATGATAATGGACTGAACCTCTGAACTGCAAGCCACCCCAATTAAATGTTTTCCTTTATATGAGTTGTTGTGGTCATGGTGTCTCTAAGAGAGCCTTTCTTCTTTTCCTTATTTCCTTCACTCCTGTTCATCCTGCCATTTTCAATGCTTTTCCTCAGGGAAGCTTCCCCTGGCTCTGACAATGTAAAGATCCCCACAGCAGGCTTTTAGCCCTGGAAGCCTTTATGTAGGTGCACTAGTCCTAGTGGCATTTCCATACTGGTCTCTGCAATCATCTCTCCCGATGAGATCTGCAGCTGTGTAAGCACCAAGTGCCAGTCCAGAGCTGTCCTGACAACAAGCCCCATGCCCAGCACACTGCAGTTTACCTATACAGACTTTCTGGATAAACAAGGGGCTCTAGAGCTCGCTCACCTCTTTGTAGCCAAAGACAATGCGGCCATCTTGGTGAAGGGCTGCCTGGAAGGTGAAGCTGCCCCTGTCCTCCCGGCCCTGGAGGTAAACATGGTCCCACTGAACCACAAAGACCGTCCCTGGGGAGAAGAACAGAGACCTAGCTGAACAGGGAGATAGTGCAGTGGGACCCAGCAGACATGATAGTCAGATTTGGGGGCTATTTGTGAATCTGAGAAGCAGGACTTGGCGACCCACACCACCAGCCTGGCTTCTGAGCTACAGAGGCCCCCAAAGATCCTGTCTATGTTCCAGAACCCCAAGTTGCTCATTTCTTACTCTGTGTGTGTGTGTACCCCTTCTTTCTTATCCATCCTGACCCCTGGAGACAAAAGGAAACATGAGAATGTCTGTCTCCTGGGGGGTGGGGGCAGATAAGAATGAGAAGGAATGGAAGTTCCTGAGAAAGCTCTCATGTCTTCACTGGCTCAGCAATGCTAGGCAACGGTGCTTCAGTGCCCTTCTTACAGGTGAGAAAACACCGTAGGGTAGGATGGAAAGGCAGCTGTCTGTCTCTGTAACTGTGGGTCTAGGGCTCTCATGAAGGGGTTAGGCCAGGACCTCCCAGTGCTAGGTGAACCGTACTCTGGGATCAGACCTCACCATTGTCAAAGTAAGCAACTGTGGAGTTGTCAGAGTAGCCAGGGTTGAAGTTGGCCATCAGGGGTGCCACGTACTGAGTAGCCGTGAGCATCCGGTGGAGCACATCACCCACAAAGATGAAGCCTAAGGAAGGAAGAGAGGCTTGGAGGTATCACTAGAAATGGCTCAAGGGGCTGCCTCTAAGGTCCCACACACACAAACTGGCAGGGGCTAGAAGTGAGCCTTGTAGCCTCATCCCCCACCCTACCCAGTGGGCTCTGGACTTGGTGAAACAGAAAAATGGCCCAGACTAGAGAATTCTTGTCCCTGTCTCCACGTAGGAAAAGGAAGAGGAAGTAACTCCCATCTCCCCCAGTTTCAGGGGAATCAGGAAACAGAATGAAAGTGACAGGAATCAAAGAGATGCCTCATATCAACAGGGACCCTAGTCCTTGCTTCCTTGGGCTCAGACTCAGAAATGGAGAGCCCAGAGCTGTGCTCACTGACTGTGTTGGTCCAGCAGGATGGATGTATGCACACACATGCAGGTAAACACACAGAGGTCACCTGATTTGAGCGGAACATTCAAGACATTCCCTGGCTGCCTCCCTAGCCCACCCATCTTCCTGTCTCCATGAGTCCCTCAACAGCCTTCCTGAGTCATGCTGAGACCTCCAAGTCCCCCCCCCCAACCTCACTGGTTTTTCCTTACCTCCAGTTGCTATGGTGATCTGCCGCAGAGGATGCCCATAGAAAGGGAAATCAAAGGACAAGACCACTCTCTGCAGGGACAGGAGAGAGTCCCCATGGGTAGAGCTGCCAGCCAAACTCTGGTCACCCTCCCTGACCCAGACTTGCCTGAACAATGTGGGCACAGCACATCCAGGGTAGGCCCCCTAGCACTACAGGTAGGTCCTGCACTTTGCATCCTCTGACTGTACCTACCCCTGGATCACAAACCTCAGGCCAGAACCATGTCCACTTCCAGGCAGCCACTGTGGCCTAGCCCCCAGCCTCCCAGCGCAGGCTGTCCTGCGAGGCCTAGGCACTCACTGAAGCCTGTCGGTGAGAGCTTGAGAGGATCCTGTGGACTTTCACATGGCTCCGGTTGGCCATGGCCATGTCCACCCACAGATCCCGGCTGCGACGCTCACCAGGGCCATAGATTCGGGACACATAGTAGTTGTGGTTGTCCTCCTGCAGGGACAGAGATAGAACCCGTACGAGGTGTGATGAGCAAGGTAAGCTGGGCACCAGCTCTGTCCTTCCCTACCTAGACTTCCCCAGATCCTCCTGGCCCAGAGCACTGGACCCACTGGGAGCTCCTGGAACACCCCTGAAGAGCACGGTCCTGTGCCATTCCTCAACAGGTCTGGCCCTAGCCAAATCCACACTAGCTCTATTTGGGTTCAGCTCTGTCCTGCCCAGACAAGCAATTCCTGTAACCCTGAATGTTTCAGAGCATAACAAAGGCCAAGTTCAGCACTGGGGACATGATGGAGAAACCCCAGATAAAGCCTTTGTCTAAAAGGAGTGTGCCTGGACCACAGGGGACACACAATCTCTGACCTGCACTAAGAAAAAAGTGAAAAGAAAAAAAAAATCTACAACTATGTCTTAGACATTTAAGGGAGAAGGCGGTTGCTGATCTTGGGGAGTTGCTAGTCTGTTGGAGGAGACAGGACACAGGCAATGGAACACTCTGATGTGGTCACCAGATGGATTGAAAGAAGAGAGAAGCAAGGAGTTCCTCAAAGGATAATTTTGCATCTCCCTATGTGGCTGGTGGGGATACCACAGTGGCCTGGGTTCATTCCACGGTCTCCCTCTGGGGCCAGGGCTTGTAGGAGGCCAGGGAAGTGGCTGGCAGAAAGAATGGGAAAACCATCGAGCTGGGCTGTGTCTCAACGCTTCCTGGAGCTGGACCAAGAACACCTCATAGAAGGCTAGTGCAGCAGCAGGGAGGTCAGAGGCTCCCAAGGCTGCCTCGGGTACTGTGATGCCCTGCATCCTGGATCATTAATCAGTCTGCAGACACAGCAGAGCAAACCATGTTCTTCCTGTAGAACTGCCAACTACCCAGCCAGCCCCTGGCCTGAGCCCAGTGGAAGCAGGGAGCTGGGGCCCTGGCCACCCCCCTGTCTGCAGAGCAGCAGACCTGACAAGCCACACCCTCTGAACACATTTTGGAGACTCAGGGTTGGGATGGTCTTGGAGAGATAAGTAAAGGAATATGGGGGGGGTCTGCTGGGACCACCCGCTATTGCAAGTCTGTAGCTTGTCTCTACATTCCTGTTTCAAACAAAATAGCAGTTTAATAAAAGCCAGCTTTGGGTTGGAGTGACGGCTCACTCTTAACTAGGGGGCTTGCTGCTCCTGCAGAAGACCCGAGTTCCCTTCCCAACACCCACACTGCAGGGCTCACAACTGCCTATCACTCCAGCTCCAGGGGATCTGGTCTCTGAAAAAAAGGAAATGAAGTTTAGATGCAAGTCTTGCTGTGTATGTGAGGACCACGCCCAGCTGCATATGTGTTTTAGGGTTCCCAGACCCCATCCAAGAACATCTGCTTCATCTCAGGCCACACCTGCCATGTTCTCCAACTTGGTGCTTCCTCAACCAGACTGGCTGGAATGGGTGACTGAAGGCAGGTTTAAAGAAGTCCACAAAACCCAGATAAATGATTAACAGTATTTATTAGGGGAGCACTCACACAATGGCGGGAAATAACTGCATCTGACTCCTGAAGATGCAATCTCTGCCCTTCTGGATGCTCCACCACGACCCAAGAGATCAAGCCAGCCCCTCTTCTTCCTTATTTTTTTTTTTAAAGATTTTATTTATTTATTAAGTATACAGTCTTCTGCCAGCATGCCAGCAGAGGGCACCGGATCTCATTCAAGATGGTTGTGAGCCACCATGTGGTTGCCCGGAATTGAACTCAGGACCTCTGGAAGAACAGTTAGTGCTCTTAACTGCTGAGCCATCTCTCTAGCCCCCTCCTCTTCCTTATAAGGGGTCATGTCTGCACACCTAGGATACAGCCACCACCCCAAGTCCACTGGCAGAACAAGATGCCACAACAGGTGGTCACATGATTCAACACACCCACAGGTGCACACACACACACACACACACACACACACACACACACACACACACACAACAAATGTTTTTATTTTCATCTATCGCTCTACAGTCTAAGCTAACCTCATCCTTCCAGAGGGAGAGTAAAATTGAATAGGTGAGAGGCTAGTGGCTGAAGAGCTGAGCTAAAACTGCTACCTTGCCTTGTCCACAGGAGACACTGGTCCCCAGACAGGAGAAGGAATAGCTCCTGGCTTCTTGCTCCAACTATGAAGAATGGAATCAGGCAGGAAGAGGTGTGCCTGGAGAGACAGGCTAAGCAGCTCTGATTCCCACAGTTGTCTAGGGTCCTCAGAGTCTAGACCTTATCTGTGACACTGCTAAGATGGTTGCTGGAAATTGAAGGGACCTTACATGGAACAGTCTTCTCTATGGGGTGGCTGGAAGTCCAGGAAGACCCCAGGCAGCTCTTCATTAAACAGCACAAATCTGAACAGCAAGAGAGAAGCAGAAAACCAAGTTTCTGGACAGCTGTTTCCTGGCCACCATATTTGTTTGTTTGTTTCTTACACAAAGTCAACCACAGCTGGTTTCTTGACTGAACACTACAGCAGAGTCCTATAGCTTGGAATAAACCTTGAGGACACTTCCTGGTGTCACTATAGGCCCCCAGTCATGTTGCCACCTGCCCTAGTAGTCCTGGTGGAGGATATCCACTATGGCAGAGAGAGATAATGGCCTGGAAGTAACCACTGTCCCCATCTTCCTGCAGCAGCAGACCCTCCACTTTATCTGGGCAGGGGCCACCTAACTTGACTGGATCTCCCCAGTCCTCCCAGCCACATGGCTGTGTATGACCAATGGGACATTAGCAGAATTATGTGCCCTCCCCTCCTCTCACCCTGAGCCAAAATGGGATGCAGGTGTGACGGCTAGAACAGAAACAGCCATTTTAGATTACAAACATGGAAGGCACGTTTGCACAGTGCAGAGCAACAGGACAGAGGGAAACTTCCTACATCACGGAGACTCTTTAACAGCCCTTGTTCATACTATTCCCTGTGAGAGAAGAGATTTATTGTGTATCTTAAGGCCCAGTCACAGAGGTATTTACTACAAGGGCTGAAAGTGCATTCTAATTAATACATAAGCAGGGCATAGTGATGTATGTTTGAGGTCCCAGTGCTTGGGAGGTAAAGGCTGGAGGATCAGGAGCTCAAGACCAGAGTTGGCTACATTGCAAGTCTGAGGCCAGCCTAGGCTGTATGAGACTCTATCTCAAATAAATAGATAAATAAAAACAAAGAAAGGGGGTGTGTGGGGAAGCAAGCCCTAGTTGATCTCTCCAGCCAGTTAACACTGTACAATGTACAGTTAATACATGTACAAGGTATCAATATTGTGTGTGTCTTGTTCAGGATGTACAGGCCGAGGAACTCACCATCCACAGACCATCACTGCATACAACCTGCTGCTTATCACCCCAGAGGATGGCCCCTAGGTGCTGGGGCAGTGCTGGCTTGACATTTCAAAGAGGGTCAGGAAGTCTAGTGAAGGAGGCAGTATCCGTGAAATGTCGCAAAGCCCTGGTCAATAATTTCCCTGTTTCACAGGCAATGGGGTGAGCTCAGACCTTTTTTCTTTCTTCCTCGGCAGCTCAGCAGCTACATCACATTACAGCCAAGCCACTCTGTACCTTCTGGAGCCTTCTCCATCACCCTCCATCCCATAGCAGCCCGTGGGGCATCTCCAGGAACTCTTAGGATTCCATGGGGCATCATTTGAAAAACCACAGCTTCAGGATCAAGTGTGCGGGCTTTGATGTCAGCCTGATCCGAGTTCAAAACCCAGACATGATGATGTTGATGATGGTCTCTTCTCTGCAGTCTTGAAAGGATTCCCTTGTACAGGACAACCAAAAGCTCTTGGCCCGGTGCCCACAGCAGGTATCCTGTAAGTGCTAGCTCTCAGATGATTCTGTTGGGCCTTTCCATGAAATGTCTTGACAGCACAGGCTACCTCCTCAAACACTCCATCCTAGTTCACATAGCAAGGGCTCTTCTCTCTCCATTACTCACGCTGCCCTGAGACCCTCCAGGCACTCCACTCTGACGGTGACACTGTATTTACTTTGGCTGAGCTGAAGATGTTTCTGGAAAGGAACTCCAGCTAAGCTGTCACAATTATCCCATCACCTGCCAGCCGGCTGGCTGTTCCGGATGCTGGGCAAGCCACCAAGGGCACTGCAGGGCTGGCAGGAGAACTTGGCTAGCCAGGCTTGTCAGGATAGCACCGAGGCAGCTGGAGCCAAGCAAGGAAGTACTACTGAGAAGGGGGCTTTGCCGTCAGCCCAGTCCATTAGGGTTTACAAAGCCACCCACCCAGAAAGTGTTCTAGATCCCAGCTACTCAAAATAACCTGAGGTCAGCAACAACAGAGCCCCTTAGGAGCCCGTCAGAAATGCAGAGTTCTGGGCCAGTTGTAGCAGTCATACCTTCACTCCCCACACGTGGGAAGCTGAGACAGGAGGACCTCTGGGAGTTCGAGATCAGCCTGGTCTACATAGTTAGTTCCAGGACTCAAAAAGAAAGAAAGGCAGAAAAAAGAAAGAAAGAAAGAAAGAAAGAAAGAAAGAAAGAAAGAAAGAAAGAAAGAAAGGAAAGGAAAGGAAAGGAAAAGCCAGATGTGGGGACTCATTGAGTAATCTTAGTACTTGGAAAACTGAGGCAGAGGTATTGCTACCAGTTAAAGGCCAGCCTAAGCTACAGAGTGAGTTCCAGGCCAGACAGAGCTAAAAGGGGTTAAAAACTCTTAAATAAACAAGAAAGGAAGGAAGGAAAGGAGGGAGAGAGGGAAGAGGAGGAGAGGGAAGGGAGGGGAAGAGAGGGCACTGTTCCTGGCCAACCCCAAACCTGCAGATCAGAGCTGACATCTGCATAAGGAAAATTTAAAAATTTGCAGAGAAAAAATTTAAAAATTAAAAATGCAAATTTAAAAACATAAAAAGGTTTTCCCTACACCATTCCTCCTAAAGGAGATGGCGGCTAAGATCTAGATTGTGAACAGAACTGGCTCTGCCACTCATTGGATGTGTGACCATGGGCAGGTGA